GCGTATTGCTAGGCCTGCTTGGTCCGTTGCATTCATAACTCCATCCAAGGCCTCTCGCGCGCAAAGAACATCTCCCAACGTATGCAATGCTTTACAGCCCAGGAGGGCTTGATGACGAAATTCTAGTCCCGGGCGGATGTTATCTAACTGGACATTCAATTTTTTTTCTTGGAAGAACAGGGTTTCCCCACAATGGCAAATTCCAACACCACGCATTAGGAACTAACGGGTGGTCATCAACATCTTCCACTGGGGGAAGGTATGCCAACGCTGTCACAATGCGCTGAACATCTGGCGGTAAAACGATTAATCCAAACCAAGGCACTCCCACCTGGGACGTAAAAATACACATAGGATTATATTTGGGGTAAAGGCTATGTAGGAAAGAGTGCATGACCATCACCCAAGGCGGACGCACTAAGACTGGTTGGAGTAATGCTCTCACAAAACGCACTGCCCAGCATGCCCATCGCGCTTGTACATGTTGTCGTACTGCTAATGCCCCAAAACCGCCCAAAGTTGGATGGCCATATAACAAATATTTAGGAACCCCGGTGAGTCGTCTTTCTTGTGCGACCGGTCCGAGGTTCCTATCAATAAGTTTGGCCGCTTTAGCCTCAATATTCAAGAGTTGAGCTTCTGGGGGAAACCCCCCGTGTTCCATATGCCACGTAAAACGATGCAGCCCATATGCAGCCGCTGCATGTGCACGCCCAAAAATGGAAAGATTTAACACCGAAATGCGTCGAAACCGAGCCCAGACTTTGTCTAGTTGCACATCCCAGTCCCTGCCAGTGGTTTCTCCCACATCCGTAAAAGGTAGATTGAGAGCCGTAGCCATATGTACGACCTTCATGTCATGATTTATTGTTATATGATGTGGGTGGGTGCCGAGAGGTAACAGCTCAACCTTATCCAGGTTAAGTTGCTGTCCAGAAGCCTGTGCGTACACCCTCATACATTCAAGGAAAGCCGGAATTGCTTGGATGCCTTCTAAAACAACTTCCGTGTCATCAGCAAATTGCACACCTGTAACCATTTCTGAATTATTTTGGGGTAAATGAATCCCCACTCGGTTGTACTGTAACCAACACAGTAACGCCTGCGCGACAAACAAGTATAGCAACGGTGCCAACGGACATCCCTGTCGCACACCCGCTGTAAGAGCAACTTCACGGGAAAAAAAACCATTTACTACCGCTTTCGACGCTGTATCGGATAACAGAATTTTAGTCCAACTAATGAACCCTGCTCCTGCGCCCATAGCATCCATTGCTTCAAATAAAAAATTACGATCTAAGGAATCGTAAGCTTTAGCAATATCCAAAAAAGCCAGGAGACACGACTGTCCTGTCGTCGACATAAGTTGCGGTAGATGCCGCAGGAAAAGAACATTTGCACCTATCAAGCGCTCTGGCAGGAAAGCAGACTGCTCGAGCGTGATAATTCGCCCTAGTATTGGACTCAGCCTACGGGTTAATATCTTGGTGAAAATCCTGTAATCTGTATTCAACAAGGTAATCGGTCGATAACTACCCGGGGAGGTGGGAGACCCCCGATTTTTATAAATAACCGTAATAGCACCTTGCAAAAAGCCATCTGGGTGCATGTGGGTTTGGCCCATGGCTGTATACAGTTGAGCAAGAACTGGTGCAATCTCGTTCCGACACACCTTGTATAATTCAATTGGGATGCCATCTAGACCGGGCGCTTTGCCTGGCGTCGCTTCCTTGAGCACCGCTTCCACTTCAGCGTCAGACACCTCCGATCTTCCTGCATGATACGCATCCTCCTCCGGAATGACAAGGTGGCGATTCCGCAGCGCCTCTATAACAGCCATCCTAGCCTCTTCAGTTAGTAGCGTTATATTCAGAGCTAAGCACGCAGATGAAAACACCGTCCGTAACAGAAAAACATCATCCGTGCTTTTCGGGGGCTAGGTTAGGATAGGCCCTCACTAGTAAATTCCTTTTGCACATGAAACGCTGCGGAAACTTTAAGACCCTTATTTAGAGCCCGACTTCTATTTCGATGGCACCGCTGGGAGCTGTCCCTTTACAATGTTAACGTTTTTTTCGTATATTGGAACAGCCGCCTGTGACCCTCCGTGGTCTAATCATGGCCATCGTGAGACTAGTGGCGAAGGTCCAATTTGAATAAGGGTGGAACGAATGACTGCTTACAAATAAAGTTACAGCACGTTCAAAGCACGCAAAATGCGTCAGGATGAAAGATGGAAAATAAGTTATGCAGTATGCAAATAAAGAAAGATAGTTATGTATATTGAAGCCTTGGCGTATAAGCGTCCAGCCGGGGCGCGCGTAACTTGAAGCTATGACGAAATGCAGAAGGTATCGTATAAGCTCTGGAACCTGTAGCACGCGTACTACACTCCTCTCCCGGGAATCAAACAAAGCTACAAATAGACCCCATCGAGCATAGTTCCGTAGGCCGTCTGTTTCGGCCTACCGCCCTCCATAACGGTAGGGGCTGTCTTAAACTGCGAGCTCATTGCTTGCATTATGACAAGCTGCTTCAACTTCTGGTAACATATGAATGCTTCTAGCTCTTAAATAGTGAGCTGAAACTACCAGGAAAAGCGCACTGGTCGCTGCCTAGCCGTGCCGGGCTACCCGCTGTCTCGCACGCTATTTTTGCGTATGCGTGTTCAAATGTCGTCCATTATGCTAGGCCTACTATTCGTTTCACTTCTGGCGGCTCCGGCAGGTAAGAGCTCGCGTCCTTTACCATCTTGTAGATGTGGCCATGGCCTGCAGTAGGGTTGGTCTTTTGCGGTGTCGTTTAAGCCATGCATAATATCTCCATCTTGTCGATCATATATTATAATAACATTTAGTAACCTCCCATAGATTATGCGGATCATTCCCAGTTACTTTTGGCCATTCGCGAGCATTCGTAGAGTATGTGTCCCAAGGCCCTCCTGAGTTGGGACAGCTCAAAAAACTCCTTAAACGATTATGAGCGACCTTGATCCAATCTTTTTTTTTATCCGAGCCCCGTAGTAGCACCTTGCGCTCCGGCGAGCTGCAGCCTGACCCGTTACTATTCAGCAGCGACTGATTTTGCGTTGTTTTAACTTAGATGGGTTGAGTAATTGCCTCCAACAGCATGAATGTGTCATTACGTATGATGTTGAGGTTAGGGAAGGCGTCAACAGTTGAATCCTCCCGTTCCGCTGCCCGGATGTGTAACAGCTCGCCCTCAGGACCGGCGCAGTCCGTCAGAAAAAACCCTAATCCCTCTTTTATTCGAGCTAAATACTTGGCTAAATACTCATTAGCAACTGCCGTACAACCCTCCTCCGTAAACAGGCTCCATCTTTCATGCACTTTCATTTTCAATCCCCTCTCAAACACACATACATACAAGCAGACAGACGTACTCACACGCACATGCACAAACACGCCCTGTCTTAACGTTTTCCCCCCCTCCCTTCCTCCGGCGGTGCCCAGCCTTTGCGCAAGGCATCCCTCCGGATATGCCAACCATCATTGGTCTCGTCGCTCAGCCGCCGCGCCCGTTCAAGCCCCCCAGGCCGCCGCCAAAGCCGCCGGCGCCGCCGCCGCGGCCGCCCAGTCCGCCGCCGCGGCCGCCCAGTCCGCCGCCGCGGCCGCCCAGCCCCAAGCCGCCAGCACCACCACCCCCCAGCCCCAAGCCGCCGGCATCACCGCCGCCCAGTCCCAAGCCGCCAGTACCGCCACCGCCCAGCCCCAAAACGGCGCCGCCACCGCCAACCTCTAAATCTA